AGGACGCTACTAGGGGCTCCTGGCCGTACTAGTAGTAACAAGGACGCTACTGGTAGCTGCTAGCATTGCTACTAGGAGCAAGGACGCAGTATCAATAGCACTTTTGGACCAAAACAGCACTTCGACCTACGGGAACCCTCTTCGACCGAAGGTTCCGATCGTCGGGCTTGGCAAAGGGGCCGAGTTTGTGGGGGAGCCCGGGATGGGTTGGAGAGGTGGGGTACAAGCCTTAGCCTTGGACTCAGATACATCTAAGTAACTTTGAACAGAAGACCTACCAGATTGCCAGATGTTGCATTCCTGACCTTTGACACCTCTCTCTTGGAGATCCACTGCATTGCAACCAATGGCGATTCCGTCCTTTGGTCCGAAAGGCAGAAGCTATGTGTTCCTTTGTGTGTGTCCGTCCTTCGTAGATGTCCAGAGTCACAGGAACATCCGCCTGTTCTGTTCCAAGGATTCGAACGCGGCACCCTTGTTGCAAGTGGCGTTGGATGATCACACCAAGGCGGAAACTGGCGTAGACAAACGGATGTACCGTTTTTTCAGGAACTCCCCGGTAGGCAAGACTCTGTGCTTATCGGAATAGAATAACTACTGTATTTGCTTTGCCCTTGGAAGGGCATTTAAGGCAAAGTTTAAGGTTGGCTTCATGATATGAACTTTAACTTGAACTGTGAAAAAGGCTGACTCCTGCAGACATCAGCATCAAGAAAGTCACCAGTCACCATGAGTTTGTTTAACTTGCAGCCGGGATTGGGTCTTCGAGCATTCTTTACAGCCGTTGCAGCCGTGTGGTGCGCGTGGCGCGTACACAGTTGGAGCGTTCGCTCCGTGTTGGGGGTGACGGAGTCGTCGCCATGCCGTCTGTGCAAGTCGTTTTGCTGAGTGGCGAGTCAACGTGGGTGACAGTGGAGTGCACTGAGCAGATCTATCGCCTCAGGCACGAATGGCAAGGGTCTGGGTTTGGAGTGGCACGGAATATGATCGTCAAACGCTGGGAACGCTTCGTGGCAGTCTGCGGATCATGGTACACCAGGGTATTGTTGGCCACTGGAGGTTTTTCATGTAAAAAAACATGTATGTAATGTAAACATTAAACATGTTTCTTTTTTTAACCATATAAACAATGTATTTTTAATCCTTTACCGCTTTTCTATACTAAGCCTCAGTTCCACGTCATCCGGCCTGACCCACCTGACCTGGTGAGGCGACAGGCGCAGGAGCAGCTCAAAGTGGGACTCGAGTGGCGCAGCAAAGATGGATGGTTTGCTGATTGCTGTGGTCTTTTTCTGTGGCCCAAGAAATAACTAGGTTGGAGGCCATTGCTTTTAGGTTGGAGGCCATTGCCTTTGGGTTGGAGGCCGTCGATAGTCAGGTTGGAGGCCATCGCTCCTAGGGTGGAGGCTGTTCATGTGAGGGAGGATCCACATTGGATGGGCACGGGAACTACTAGCCCATGAAAATCCGATTAACTGATAGCATTTCTCACGGGAGAGTGAACATTGAAAGTTGGAATTACAACCATCCTGAATACTATGAACCGAAGCATGTCGGATCTGAGTTTGATTCGATTACAATGCTGAAGAACACCATCTTTCAAGCACTTGTTCAACACCCAGTGACTTGATCTGAACTAGCCAAAAAGGAAGAGAGGTGGGGGGCCACCTGTGGCCGTGAGCAGTGCATGTAGGACCTGGTTGAGGGAACCGGTGGGGGCCGGGTTTATTGATGTGAGGCGGCTGTTGAACTCCACGGGGGAGCCCCTCGACGAGCTGAGCACCGTGGCCAGCTCCAAAGTGCAGGAGGGCGACACGCTGACCGCCTTGGGCCGGCGAGGCAAGCTTTGCTGCGGAGCGGAGTCCCTGGCATCCCGGTGATAGCTTGTGTATAATTACGCCGCATGCGCTCTGTTTGGATTCCTTGTAAGGGAACCTGGTAGTATTGTTGATGTGGGTGAAGTAGTCTTTCCCTGGGTGCATGCACTTGCTTGGGGTAGCGCAACCTTGATGGACCCCTCGGGTGAGCACAAGTTCACGTGTTGATCTGCATTAGCTCTTTACGATGCCGCTTTAGACGGCCTGTCTAAAACCTGCAATGGCCCTGTGCAAACTGTATGGCGATTGGCCCAAAACAGTATTGTTTAAAAGAGTGGTCAACCCTTAGGGACAGGGTTTTGAGACAGACACACACTCATGGATATGCGTACTGACTTGATAGCGGTGCCACACGCC